ACAACATTTTTTTAATGTGTGTTAATAGAAAAATGTATCGATAACAATATTTTCTATGGCAAATCGTCCCGATAATAATATTTTCTATAACAAATCGTATCGATAACAATATGTCCAATAGTAGCTCTTGCCGACAACAAGATTTTCTTTGTGCAATTTAACCCCCATCATGAGATTTCTAGAGAATACCGTGCGATAGCAATATTTTCTATATATAAAACCGTTCCGATAGCAGGATGTTCTGTTCAAAGTCTGACCGATAACTACCTTTTGTGTGGAAATCTGTACCAATTACAAGAATTTCTATTGAAAAATTACATCGATAAAACAATATTGTTTAGAAAAATTGACTAATAATACATTTTTCTGAAAAAATAGGTTCCGATAACAACAATTTCTATAGAGACCTATTCCGATAACAACATATTCTATAGAAATCAATATGAATAAGAATGTTTTTACATAGAAAATCGTACCGATAACAATATAGCAGATGTCAAATGTTACAGAGAACAGAATTTTCTTTGGAAAATTATATCGATAACAACACATTCCATGGAAAATCGAATCGATAACATGTTTTTTTTTTTCTGAGAAACCAATTTCCACGGAAACAGGCTTTTTGGAATGTAGAGTCTACAATAAAATTTTGAACAAGAATTTGAATCGATATTAAGTTTTTCTATCTATAATAAACCCGATAACATGTAAAATCGTGTCCGATAACACAATTCTTGATTCGAAATAAAGTCATTTAAATGCTCTGCTATGTCCCTTGACCATTAATGTGAGATGGCATAGAATTTCGCAATATCGTAAATTAAATTAAACGCAATGCAAACAATTCGAAAAAAACGCCAGCAACAACAAAAATTAAACATTTTCTTTGGGCGGTTGTTGTTGTTGTTGTTGTTAGTATTTTCCTTTCCCAAAAATACCCAAATACCCAACAAATAGTTGTGCTTTAAAGAAAAGCAATTCATCTTCTTTTCACTGCAGTTCAAGATGACTGATATGAAGGCATTTTTAAATAGTTTCACAAGACCAAGAAGCGACGACGCACTCCCCCCATCGATGTCGGCTGGTTGTCGCTTGGCCTGTCCATTAGCCAGCCAGCCAGCCAGCGAGTCAGCCAAATCGAAAACATGACGACAACAGGCAGCAGCGATATGCTGATACTTTAGCTCGAGTTTCGTAATGTATTTGCATTGAAAATTTTGTCCTGTTTTTTTTTTTCGGCGGGGATAAATGGATGGATGGACGGTTGGTTGGTTTGCCTCTTCAAAGAACCAGACAACATCAAATATTTTCTCGACTTTTTTTGTGTTTCTCTTGGTTTTCAGCGAAACAATGCTCCAATAATGTAATTTAATCAACACCATTTCCGCATTCTAATGGCGGGACAAACTGATTTCAGGGCAATGATAAGCAGCCAGGGGGGATAGGTACGGGAATCGTCCCGCCTTGTTGATCCCTCATTTCCAATATTGTCTTTGAAAATATTTTCCTCCAACACAGACCTCCACTTCTTGGCGCTACATCTTGTTTTTTTTCCCGACAATTTTTAGTTTAGAAAAACAAAGAAATCGGAGCACTCGGGCTCTTGAGCTGTCTGCACTTTGCCAGCCAGCCAGCCAGCCAGTCACTACTTGATTTTCAAGTAAATTTCCTAAAAAAAAATAATAATTTGACGAAAAACAAATGTTTTTTTCCGAAAAAAAATCCTTTTTCCTCTCCACTCAAAAAAAAATCAATCCAAAACTTGTTCAAGAGGTTCTGTGCTGACTACCTCATCAAATCAATTTGACAGCCAGCCATCATCGAGAAAAAATGGAAAAATATCAAATTTCCCTCTAATTTTCCGGCCCCCTACAACGAGACGATGTTCTCTCTAATTTATCATAATTTACCAAAGGCCTGGCCAAGACTTCAATTATGTTCTGGTGGTGGGTGGCATTTTTTGCTTAGAGTGCCCCCTTCCCTCCTTTCTCCCCTCCACTTTTATGTGATTTGTAACAATTTTTAGTTCTTTAATTGAGACCCATTTCCTTTTACAATACAAATGTTTTACAAATCATATTTTGGCATTTGTTTCCCTCTGCCATCCCCACCCTCTCCTCTCTCCCTCTGCCAAACAACAGCGAACACATTTCTTGTGTTCATTGCTTCTTTTATGTTTTTCCACTTTGGTATTCTCTGTGACGAAAGAAAATTATCTATGCTTTAAAGGCTGGCTGGCCGGCGGTCGGACAGCCACCGCCACCACCATTGCCATAGACCAAAAACAGCAGAAAAAACATTCATAAATATTAGAAATGCTCCCGCAAAAGCTGAACACGAAGCAGCAGAAGAAGAATAACAAGCGTACCAAAAAATCATTTCGACCAACTACGTCAGCTGGTGATTAATAATGAAATATGCCGACGCTCTTCAATGCGCAACAAACTATTTAAGAATTGTTTTTTTTTTTCGTTTTGTCGTTCGAAAAGTATCCGAAATTACTCAATTATGTTTCATGCGGCAAAATTGCCGAACAAAATCGTGGCAGACAATAGAACTTTTCTTAGTGGAAACTATTTTAAAAATCAATTTTAAGAGTTTAATTTTTGTTGAAAAGGATTTTGAAAAGGAAATCGGTAACAAAGTGTTTTTTGGAAACATGAGACGATAACAAAACTGAATACAATATTATTTTAACAAATACAAAAAAAAAATGAGATGACAAAATTATCTTTTAAAAAATCATACCCAGTTTTCGATAAGAATTCGTAACGATTACCAATTATTATAAGAAAAAAATTACCCATAACAATATTTTATGTGGCTGTTGAAAAATGTATCGATTACTGGACTTTTTGTAGAAAATTGGATCGATAACAAGTATTTCTTAAGAAATTGTATCAATACCAATTTTTTTATTTTATAGAAAATGTTACCAATAACTATTCCAGCGCTCAATTGTAACGATTTTTCCTTTAGAAAGTGGAACCGATAACAAGGTTTTCTTAAAAAATGATACCGATGACAATGTTTCCCAAATGAAATGGTACGAATATAAAATAGGACGAAAGAATTCTATTGAAATTCGTACCTATAACAAGAATTTTCTGCCCAAAAACCTAAAGATTCCAACATTTATTGTGGAAAATCCTGCCGATAACCAGCATTTTTGTACAAAAAGCTTCCGATAACGGGATTTTCTCCAGAAAAATGTATCGATAACCATGTTTTATGTATAAAATATTAAAGGTAGCAACGTATTATATATAAAATGGTAGCTATTCGTTACAATCTGCTACCGATAACAAAATGAGCCACAGCAAACTATATCGATAACATGATTTTTTTTATCTAAAATACCAACAATAAAAAGATTGCCTTTTAAAAATAATATCGATAACCACCTGTTCTATCGAAATTCGCGACGAACATTAGATTTTTCTGTGTCAAATGACATCGATAACAAGAGTATGTGTAGAAAATGTATCCGATAACAAGTTTTTCCATGGAAAATCCTACAGACAAACGGAATTTTCTATAAACAATGGTACCAATAACAGTGTTTCCTCTTGGATAATGTGCCGATAACGTGATTTTTCTTTAGCTAATGCTATCGATAACAATGTTTTCTGTGTAAATTCCTACCGATAACAATGGATAATGTATAAAATCATACTGGTAAGACAATTCTCTTTAAAATCTGGTACCGATAACAAAATAAGCTATGGCAAATCATATCGATAGCACGATTTTTGAACTAAAATAGAAACAAAACAAGATTTTCTGGAGAAAATATATTCGAAAACAAAATTTTCTCTAGAAAAAAATTTCGATAACATAATTTTCTTTAGAAAATATTGTCGATAACATAATTTTCTATAGAATATGTGGCTGATAACATAATTTTCTATAAAAAATGTTGTCCATAACACGATTTTCTATAGAAAAATATTGTCGATAAAAGGATTTTCTTTAGAAAATATTGTCAATAACACGATTTTCTATAGAAAATATTATCGATAGCATTATTTTCTATCAAAATTTCTGTCGATAACAAGACTTTTTATAGAAAACAAGTTTTTCTACAGAAAATATTATCGATAACAAGATTTTCTATAGAAAATATTGTCGATAACAAAAACATTGTTGATAACAAGATTATCTATTAAAAATATTGTCGATAACAGTATTTTATACTAAATTTACAGGATTTTCTATAAAAATATATTGTTGATAACACCATTTCATATCAAAATTATTGTCGATAACAAAAATGTCTATAGAAAATACTGTCGATAAAAGGATATTATACCGAGAATGTTATCGAGAACCGACAAATATTGGCGCTAACAAGATTTCCTGGAGAAAATATTATAACTGAATTTACAAGAGTCACTACATTTTCATAAAAAATATTGTCGATAAAAATGTTCTATGAAACAAAACTTTTTTTATAATGAAAATGTCGATAGCAAAAATTATAATAAAAAAATAAAATTTCCGTTTAAAAATTTTTTCGATAAAATACATTTATATACAAATAATTTTCAATAAAAATGCCTTTTTTACAAAAGAATGTCGAAAGCACGATTTTCCAATTAAAAATTTGGCCTCAAGAAACGAAAACAGTGTTATCCATATAACTCCTGTATTCCATGACGCCTTTTTAAAATATCGATAGCAAAATTTCATGGAGTGTCATAAATATTATCGCCAACAAGATTTTATATAGAAGCTCTTCTAGATAAAACCATCTTTATTCAAAACTAATATCGATAAATTGATTCCTGAACATTCTCTAAGAGAATATTCCATTTTCCAAACTGGTATCGATAACATGGGACTTAAAATAAAAACATCTTAATCTTCTAAAAAAATCTTTTCGTCGACAATAATTATTTCTAGACAATCGTACCACCGATAGACTACTTCTATTTAATTTCTTTTCAAATATTTTCTTAAACTTTAAAGAGTTTCATTCATGTGGTTTATCATATTACCTGCATTAGATGCGAATTATCCATATCAGAGGTGTAGCTTACCTGGAAGGAAATAATAATAAAACAATTATTAGAAAATAAAATCATTAAAAAATTACAAAACTTCATACAAATTACAAAAATCATTTAAAAATGCTTCAATATTAAAAATCAGCTTAACATTATCGCTACACCCTGTAATTTGTATCCCCTCATTTTGCAAGAATAACTGTAAATGCTGCAACAAGTTTTCAAATTTCATCTTATAACTTCAGATTATCTTCTTCTCTCTCCCCAACGACAACCCCAACAAACCAAAACACACAAAAAACAACACAACGGCACCAGAAGATATCTGTTTGTGTTTCCAAAAATAACGGGACTTTTACTTATGCAATACAAGATAAGAAGACGCAGAATACAATAACAGCAACAACAATAATAAAATACCCGCAACACATTGCCAAACGGGTGTCTTTTTGTGTTTTCAATTTATTTTGTTACGTTTGCCAAAATCATTCCCCCATATCATTGAAAAACCGAAATGAAAAAAAAAACGAAAAACAACGAAACAGCATCAGAGTAACATTTCACCAAAAACAAAAAAAAAAAAAACCAACAAAAAGTACAGCAACAACAATTGGTGTAAAAAGGAGGCCTACAATTCCCCCCACATACAAGTTAAGTAAGGCACCTTTCTCCCACTCCACTCATCTCTCTTGTTCCACAGAGAGCAATCAACATGTGTGTGAGAACAAAACAAAGCTAAGATCAAAATTAGGGTTTTGATTTCTCAGAGCCAAGATTTGTTGTTTTTGTGTTACAAAGGAAAGTATGAAAAAATGCACATAAATAATGACGACTGACTGCTGGCCGGCCAACCCGAGAGCCATGGAAGCCGAAAGCCATTGAATGACGATGTGACTCTGAGACTCCTTCCTTCTTCTTTTGTTGGTTTTGTTGTTTCTTTGGCATTTGATTTCCTCCTTGGGATAATCGTTTGTATGACTAACTTAAGGGAGACCCTCACACAAGAAATACAATCACACATGACTGCCACGAGAGAGTATGGGTGGTGGTGTGCTGTGAGTTAATTCACAAATGAATTCATTTTGGGGGCCTTGCTCAGAGTGAGTGTTGATGTTATTGTTATGCGTTCGTTCATTGTTGCCGTTGCTGCTGTTGTTGTTTTTGTTGCTTCTTTGTGTTATTGCCCGTTAAAAAGCAACGTTTGTTTGGTTGCAATAATAATTTGACCTAATTTCGCAACCAGAAACAATACAAAAACAAAAACAAAAAAGGAAGAACGAAAAGAAAACACAGAACGAAAGAATAAGTCAAGAAGAATTTTTTAAAATATCAAGGAAGACATTTTTTGGAGGGTAAAATGTAAAGAAAGAAAAAAACTATTTTTGCCAACATGTCTCCAGGCTAATGAGAAATTAATATACGACACAAAAACAAGGAGAAAGAGAGGGGAGTCGTGTGGGGGACAGATTACACACATAGAGGGAGATCATTAACTAAATGAGTAGGTAGAAATGATAAAGAGGCAAGGGAAAAAGGGTGATTTCATTTGAGAGCAAAAAAAAAGAGTAACAATTTGGTGGTTGCGGAGTTCTTGTAATATCCATTGAATATCTTGATGGTTTCTTTGTTTGTATATCAAATACTGCAAAAAGGCAAGGAGAGAGGGGAATACTTTTGCTGGCAATTCAAACACCTAATAAAAATCCAGGAACCATAAAACCTGAAACTGGTTTTAAAGGCATCGACGAGATCGATTTGATTTATGTGTTGCCGTTGCTGATGTTTATTTATTCTGGCATTATTCTTTGGTTACTTCTTTTGAGCCAACCCAAAAATCTTACAATTTTGTAGCTGTACTTGCATACGTTTTTACACACGCCCAAAAAAATATCCAAATAAAAAAATCCAAAAATAAAACCAAAAATGCGGTATTTGAATAACTGCAGATGTCAACACAATTTGTTTTTTGTTCTCTCGCTTTCAAGTGTCAATAAACTTTACGAAATTGATAAACAAAAAAACAAACGACAACATTAATGGAAAATGTGCAGTTTTATGTTTACGATGAAATTTCAAAGGGGGCGTGTGCTGAGAAGGGGATAAGAGAGGGAGAGAGAGTTCGTGAATTTTTAATTATGGTCTTTTATTTGAAAAATCAAATGAGGGGAAATAAAAACAAAGAGACTGGGAAGCGTGTTGAATGGAATTAATTTGCCATTACCGAGGCCACCTATCAGCAGATGGGCATCTTTCTCGTCTACTCTGTAGTAGATGGTCTAATTTAGCATTTACAATAAAGTAGATGACCCCATAGGCGGTCTACTGTAGAGAGTATACACTTTTAGGTCAAGATCCATTTAGGCATCTACTAGAGAGTATATGAGCCTATTGACCGGATACTATATAGTATTTTCATCTATAGCAAATTATTTTTTATTTCTATTATTTTGTTTATTATATATTTTTATTGTTTAATTTTTTATTTTATATTTCGTTCGTTTTAATTTTATTGTTTTTATTTTTTTTTGTTTTTTATTTTTAACTGTTTATTTTTTATTTTTAATTTTTATTTTTTTTTTTATTCCATTCTGTCTTATTATTATAATTTTAGTTTTCTTAACATTTTCATTTTTTATTTTGTTTAATTTAATTTAATTTTATTATTATTCTATATTATTTTATTTTTTAATTTTTTAATTAACGTTATTTTTATTTATTTTTAGCGTGCTTTTATTGTTGAAATTTATTTTTAATTTTTATGCTTTATCTCATTTATTTATTTATCTTATTTATTTTTTTATTTCATTTATTTTTTTATTTTTACTGTCTTTATTTTTTTATTTTATTTTTTGTTTAATTTCTTCTTATTAACTAACCTTACCCCATTTTATTTTGTAACGTTATCTTTAATTTACTATTGTTTTTAATTTTCATTTATATTTTTCATTATTATTTTTTTAATTCCAGTTTTTTTACTTTCTAATTCCATATTTTAAATTTGAATTTTATTTTTTTATTATTATTTTTTTAATTTCATTTTTTTTTTTACTTTCTAATTCCATATTTTTAATTTGAATTTTATCTTTTTTTTAATTTTAATTATTTACTTTAAAATAGCATTTTTTTAATTTTTTAACTATTTTTTTTATTTTGCTTTATTTTTAATTCATTATTATTTCTATTATAAATTATTTTATTATTAATTTTATTTTCAATTTTATCTAAAAATTTAAAATTTTTATTTTTAATTTTTTTTTATTATTTTATTTTGTATTATTTTGAGTGTCCTTTAATTTTTTTGTTTTTTTTTTTTACTGTATTCTTATTTTTATCTCTATTTTATTCAATTTTTTAATGTGTGTTTTTTATTTTTCTTTATTTATTTATTTTTTGATATTATTTTATTATTATTAAATATTATTAAAATATTATTCTTTATAAAAATATTATTTTATTTTTGGTTTTAATTTTACTTAATATTTTAATTTTATCTTTCAATTTTTATTTATTAATTTTATTTGATTTTGTTTATTTTTTATTTTATTTTTTTTTTTTAATTTTATTTGGTTTATTTTATTTATTTTTTTGTATTTAATTTTTATTAAATTCATATAATATGTTATATCTTAAATTTTTTTTATTTTTGGTTTTAATTTTACTTAATATTTTAATTTTATTCTTAAATTTTTATTTGTTAATTTTATTTGATTTAATTAGATTTTGTTTGTTTTTTATTTTATTTTTTTTTATTTTATTTTGTTTATTTTATTTTATTTTTTTTTTTTTGTATTTTATTTTTATTAAATTCATACAATATGTTATATCTTACAATTTTTTTGCAATTGTATTTTTTTTAATTTTTGTTTTTAAAAATACTCCAATCCTTGTCATAAACCTCCTACCTAGCTCTGGGCACCAAACATCAGCAACACACTCATCACCAGCATTTGTCTTCCTAGACAGGCAGGTGTTAAAGTTTAACAACCCATTAACGAAAAAAAAACCAATGAAATGACAATAACCTACCAAAAGGCAACAACAACAACACAATTCATAGCAAACAAATTAAAAATGTGTCAACATTCCAAAAACAAAACAAAAAAACGATAAAAAAAATATTCTCAAAGATTATTCCCCCCAGTGGAATCCCAAAAACAATAAATATTATTTAACTTCCACAAAAGATAACAAATATCTACCGCCCTCCTCTCTCTCTTCCACTGCCAAAGATGGCTACTTTCCCATCATAAATTTGGCGTTTGATAGGAACAACAAGGAGAAAAATGTGTTAATGAGAGGTTGAAAAGGTGAGAAGAAGAGATGATCACTTTTTTAGTGTTGGAGGCTTGGAGGGAGCACTCTCAAAGATAAATACAAGCCCTTCCCTCCTCCCGGCTGATGTTCAAAATTTCATAATATTAAGTTATCACGTGTAAAGAAGACAAGTGTGTGACGTCGGGTAGACAAAGTTGTAGGTGGCTGCATCACATTTTCACACTGATAACAACGAACAACCAGACCCCGCTACCCCTCGAACCAACAACACCGACAGCCACCTTACCTTCTCGGCTAGATAATAAATTTATGACGTTTTCGGCAAGAATTAAAACAACAAAAATGTCATGACACTAAATGTTGTGGCAATTGAGGGGGAGTGGAAGGGGGGAATATAAACAAAAAATATGGAATTAAAATGACAACAAAAACAATGAGGCAGCAAAAACGAGGGAGCGAACGAGCAAATGAACATAATTAAGTGTGAATAAACTGTCAAGATAAATAAAGCGCAAAGTTTTGAAGTTTTTTTTTTTTGCCCTGGAGGGGGGATAAAGGGAGGTGTGAAGAAGCGTGTTAATGGGAAGAGAAAAAGTATGCTGTATGGTATTTGGATAGCAAGCAGCTTTTGTTGTTGTCAAGTATTTTTTTAAGCTGCATTGCATAAATGATTTAAACACTTTAGCTAAAAATATAAATAAACATTTATTAATTAAGCAATTTAATGCAAGTTTTTTGGAATTGTCAAGGCCGGGAAT